CCCCCAAATGAACTTTTTTTTTTCTTCTGTTTTTTCACTTCGGGGGCGTAACCCCCAACATGCATTGTGACGCCCAACCTCACGCCCTGCGCGACTTCCTGCGTACGGAGTGTTAGTGGGCCTGGAAGTGGAAAAAGGGGTGTGCCAAGGATTTTAGGAAAGTGGGGGCGGCGTCCCAGGTCAGAACTGGAATCTCCAGTGTCAGGTTCCGGGGGTAAAAGGGCAAGTGTCGCTTTCGGCTCAGAGTTGTGGTGATGGTCGATCTCGCGGCCTGATCCTCGTATGGTGCTCGAGTGGGGCGCCGCGGGTGTCCCGGTGAGAACGCTCGTACCGCTGTCGACCGACACACGTCTCCGAGGCTGGGGAGGATGAGCTGTGCTCCCACCGTTCCGTTTCGGGACGGGTTCGTCGAGTAATCCCCGCCGGACGGTACTCGTCGCGCTGCTGGCACTCTGAGCACGGCGGGCGGGGCCAGAACCGGTCTATGGACTCCCAGGGGACGACAAGTAGTTGGTGGTACGGGAGGACGACGTAATAGGGAGGGAAACTAGTGGTGATGGCCACGAAGCCTGGGGTTAGAAGGTAATGCTGGCTTTGGTTGTCGGGATAATCCGGGATCCGCGAGTTTCGATTTATGGCTAACTGCAAATCGCCCCTGCACAGTTGCTCGTTTTCAGTTCGGCAGGGGTACTCAGGTTTTCGTGAGTTTTGTTGCCGTCTGGCTTGTTACCGTCTGACTTGTTCCCTTTCCCAATACGCTAGTTATTCCGGATCTCTCAGACTCTCACGGTCGGTAATCCAAAAGGGAGTTTCGATTGCCATATCCTATTTAGCGGAGTTTGGTGCAGGCATCTTCGACGAGTGGGATCGGGTTGGCTCTTGCACGTGCGCGCGTAGGCTGCAGGTCATCATTGTGGGCGGCTGCCTTATGCGTGTGTGCGCATGAGCCAGTCGATCGGATCCATCGCCTGCGTGTCGGTTTATCCAATATGCATGCAACTAGTCCTTCCGGACGACTGTTATCCAAATCTCAGGTAGACTAATCTTTGCATCCATGCTCACACCATCATATACAAGGGAGGGTAGAGTTAGTTTAGCATCTAGAACGAACGCACCCCATGGTCCTTGCAATCATGCGCAACTCAAGTAATTGGACAAGATGCGCGCGAGATCATACGCGCAACACAGACAGGTACTCGAAAGCGACAAAATTGAAATTGAGCAGAACAAAATGGGAGATTAAAGACAACTCAAAAAGTTACTTCACTCTCATGCAGATAGTCTGAGATGACCCACACAGGAAGTCTGAAGGTGCTGGAGCAAAAATTAACCATCGTTGGAATCAAAACTTTACATAGAAGATAAGGAGTCTCTCTCTCTCTCTCTCTCTCTCTCTCTCTCTCTCTCTCTCTCTCTCTCTCTCTCTCTCTCTCAATGCGGGCAGTCCGTCGCCTCGCATCTCCAAGCCACACAGAGTCGTCACCCCGCTTGGCTTGAGTGTGCAAGCCAGGTTCGCCCACGTGCCGCAGTCCATCGCGACCACGCGTCAACCCCACGCTAATCGGATCGCCCAACTCTCATGCTCACTCACCTTCCAATGCTCGTTAGTCGACCCTCACTGATCGCGCTAACCTTGAGGTTCTTAGAGAGAGAACTAATCGCGCTTGCGAAATTTATAGCATGCATGCTTGCGTGCGGGATAGGAGATTAGCACCAAGTGATGAGAAAGAGAAAAGAGGGAGTGCCTACGTGTGCATGTCTTGGCCGCGGCGTGGGGGAAGAAGCCACTCTCTGCGCATCGATCCAGACATGCAACCATGGGAACCACTTAGAACAGAGGAAGAGTATGCATGCGAAGACGAGGCGGGAAAGAAGGAAATACGATAGCCATCAAGAACAAAAAAATTACAGTCGCGATTGCTCCCGCCAAAAACTACAGTTACACACAAGATTAAGGCGCGGACGGAGTCAGAGCCCAGATCCTGTCGGGGCACGGTACGTGCGAGCAAAAAGCGTCGTGCCGCCAAACTGCAAGGTGCCTAAATTCCTAGTCTAAACCCTAAATGCAAGAGAAATTTCTGAAAAACAATTCCAAGAGTCTGCGGGGGCTCGACATTAGCTCGAATTTCAAGAACGAAAATTTCTGCACGCTGATCGCGGCAAAATTCCTAGGGCGCATAGCAGAACAAGAAAGAAGCTATGGCAACCATTATTTCTCGCGCTCGTTAGGGCGCGGTCACTTAATCGTCGACGCGGGACTTTCCCGGCACCGGCCCGATGATCTCCAACAAAAAACGAAAAGGAAGCGAGGGCATCCACGCAACTTGCCCCACCGATCCCACTTGCGCCCCGTCACCCATCAAGGCCCTCTAGTTTCTCCACAGCGGCCTTGCGAAGGAAGCGCTTGCAGAAGATAGTTCGTCACATATGTGACGCCCAGGGGGTTCCAATCTTGTGCAAGCTCCCTCTTGCACTCATATCCCTCCACTGTGCACGTGTCATTACCGTAGGATTAGAGTGTGGAAGTCATCCTGTCGACACGTCATCATACTCGCACTCGCTTTAATGGCCTATAGGGAGAGGGTAAGGGAGTCGATACATGGAGGTGTGGCATGGGGGAGGATCGGTCGGGAGTGGTGGCAAAAAGTTCGCCATTCCTGCTACCGTCTCCGGAAGCTCTTGGTACCTGATGGTGCGATGGATGTGGGGGAAGTGGCGACGGCCATGGGGGAGGGAAGCAAGCTAATCGGGATAAAGAGTCCGGGATCCCTGGTTCGATCGTCCGGGATCGGCAGGTCCGCTCCTACCGTCTGTTCCAGTGGCCGCTTTCCTTCCGCTATTTCTGCCCTCCGCCGCTCGACAACCGCAGGGTCCTCTCTCTGCTGCTCCCTCTGAATCGCTCCTTCCTCCTTGTTCACCCTCTCTTCCTCTTCTTCTTCTTCTTCTTCTTCTTCATTTACCGTCCCTGATTCTTGCTCGCTATGCTCACTGTAATCCTCTTCCTCCTCGGAGGTCTCCTCTTCTTCTTCCTCTTCTTTCTCCTCTTCTTCCTCCTCTGACACCGTCCTGCCCTGAAAGAAGATAACGTCGATTACCCCCCGGGGATTTAGGAACTTCGTGTGTGACAGGTAACCGCTATTTTCCCACTGACCCTCCAGATAGGCCGACCACTGTAAGTATGGCGTTAGACTTCGCGAAAGAGTGTGCGGCGCCGGATTCTCGTCGCAGTGCAAGATGATGTCGGTGGGCAGATCGTCCAACAGCTGCGTCAGGAGGATTAGGAGCTCTCCCACGATCGGTTGTCGACGTCTCGATTCCACTGCTCCGAAGACGAATCCCAACAGATCTCCCTCTACCACCGTTCTCCAGGCTTGAATGATGAGCAGCTCCACGTCTTCACTCACGTCGCGGTGCTCGTTGTCCCGGGCCCACGCTAGCTCGATGTTGACCAGACAAGAGAAAGGGTCGTATAAGTATCCCACCACATTAGCCACTGCAACGGTTTGATGAGCGGAACTGAAAGCGGCCGCACACAGAAAGAGAGGCGGGGATGGAGCGCGAACTGCCAAAAGGTAGGAAAAGCCGAGGGGAGGCTGAAGGTGGAGAATCTGGGGCGGTTCATTGGGGATGCGAAAAAGGGATGAGCACAGGGATAGATACCATTGACTCGTGCCGGAGAATACGGATGCCGCCTACGTCAATACTGTTAGTGTTGACGACGTTCTCTCCTCGCCGTACGAGCAGCTGACTCCAAGCCCCTGCCAGTTCTTCACCCCACTCTCACAACGAGACCAGGATGGTCATGTGTGTCCTCGGATCAACCGTAGTAAGGTCCCCGCTGAAGAAGACAACTGTCGAAATGTGGTCGATTCCTGGCGTTGAGAGTCGTCGATATGCCGATGCTTCGGCCAGCACCTGCGCCCTACTGTTAGGGATCACAAAGCGGAACTCCGCTGCTGCGTGCACTCCCACCGTACTAAGGAACTGAGCAAACCTGAGAGCGTCTGGGCTGATGCGCGGATGATGGACTTGCCGGATCGCCGAGATGTGTCCACTAGGCGCCAACATCCGTTCACTGAGTACCTGCTCCATGGAAAAACTCATAGCGATGAGGAGGGAGAGGACGAGCGGGGAGAAGAGGGGGAATTGGGGTTGTCACTCTCCCACTCGGACTCCGAGAGCGAGCCGGCTGGAGAAGGAGGGGAAGAAGCGGAGAGATGGCGGAGGTAGGACACGTGGCGGACTATGGGCCTAGCCGACCTACTGCCTCCCACTTCAGGAGTGAGGCGCACGGTGTTCACTTCGTTAGGTCCGAGCTCGATCACTTGAAAGCACCCGAAGAATCGTGGCGCTAGTTTCCCTTGACGAGCACATTTCCTTACCTGCACCAAGTCCCCTAATTTATACTGGGGTCGGGCACCCGCGTTCTCGTTCCGAGCCTCATAGCTTCGGACCTGTCGGCCATGGGCCATTTCCGTCATACGCTGTCTTTTTCGGGCTAACCGGGGGAGGGCCCTTTCCATCAAATCCAAATGATGTTGGGCCTTTTCTCTAACCGTCGCTCTAGTGGCCCTTTGGGAAAGGGTCGTTTCATCATTTAGGCTCGGTATCGAGACGCAAGCATGGCTATTGGTCCGTTGTTGAAATGGCGAAAGTCCCGTAGATTCATGCGGGGTCCCTCGATGTATGACCAGGATGTGATCTACGATGTCAGGCCACTGCTGCGTGTCCTTAGCTACAATATTTCGTCGGAGTGTCGTTTTAATTACTCGGTTGGCGTTTTCTACAAGGCCGTTTGATTGAGACATATGAGGGGCGGTATTACGAACGGACACCCCATGCACGACCAGATTCCTTAAGAATTCGCCTCAGAATTCTGCTCCATTATCCGTAAGGATTTCCTCGGTATCATGATGCATCCCGAGGAAACGGCTGATATACCGCACTATTTTCGCCGTCTGTCTTGTCCGACATGGGTATGCCTCGATCCACTTCGAAAAGTGGTCAACGAATACCAAAAGAATTGAATACTCACAGCTGTTCAGTCCAGAGGGCACGACGATATCCGTCGTATCCATGCTAATCCTCTGGAATGGCCGTTGAACTATAGGGGGCACTATCGACCTAGGCGGCTGAATCGACACTTTGTCAGCAGCACAGATGGGACAATTTTTAACTATGAATTTAACGTCGTCCCAGATATTGGACCAGTACCACTCGTTTTTATCGATGGCTGCCTCGATAATTCTGGCAGCGAAATGTGCGGTCGTCTCTTCATGCGCAGCCCGCACCCAGTCATACCTTGCGAATGGGTGCGGTACTACCATCCAGATTCTGCTCCCGTCCGCTTTCCTTTTCTCTAACCGTCCTTCGTTCCGCCTATAGTCTTGTGCCCTCTCATTGGCCCGCCTCCGATCCTCCTTAGAGAATTCTCGGAGAGAATTCCCGATAACTGTGGCTATTAGGACGACATCTGTCCATACCTCCGCCCGTCTAAACCGTGGTGTTTTTTCTAAACCTTCCGACGCCGCTTCCAGGAATCGAGCCTCCGTCGAAATTTTATCATTACGGGACAGATGGCAGAGCATTGCTTCTGGGAATTCCTATATTGAACACATGACCCGTAGGCTCTTGCCACGCACTTAGCACATTCTACCCACTCAACGTAACCCTCGTTTTGTGGCTTAACCGAAACGGAATAGACTCCCGAGATAGACTCGTAGAGAAGACAAAAACGATCGGGTAAGGAAAATAGAGAGGATGGGGAAGGAGAGAGAAGGCCCTCAGCATTTTTGTCCCTTTGGGCCGTCATGGGGACACGTGCCACTTCTTCATTTGTCGAGGGAGGACCCTCACCTGGCCGTACCCGGGTCCCTTGGGCTGCTCCAGTTCCTTCCACAGAGTGATCTCCTCGCCACGTGGCACCTTGCCTGGCCTGTGTAGTCGTGTCAATCCGTCTACGTTTCCGTATCTCTCTGTCTTCCAATGGACGATGTCGAAATCATACTCCTGCAGCCTCACTTCCCATCACCCAATCATTCCCGTGTAGTTTGTCAGCTTTTCGAGTGCCAGCAAGGGTTCGTGGTCCGTTACGAGGAGGAACTTCTGTCCGTAGAGATACGGGTGGAAGTGCTGAATTCCCCAGACCAGAGCGTTGCATTCCCCTTGAGGCGCTGAGTCATTCCTTCTCTCTTCCGACACCTTCTGCGAAGCATACTCAACCACGTGTTCCCGACCGTCTTTCCCTTTCTGAGCCAGGATAGCGGAGATTGCTTCGGGCTCCCAGTCAGTAATGAGTAGGAACTGCCGCTCGGGATCGGGCCGGATTAAAATAGGCGCGGAGGCCAGGGCCTCCTTCAGAGTGGAAAAGGCCCGTTCACACTTCGAGTCCCAGTTCAGCGGCTGGTCCTTCCGTAGGAGGTTCGTTAGAGGCCGAGCGATTGCCGCAAATCCTTTGATAAACTGTCGGTAATACGAGGCCAGTCCCAGAAAGGCTTGGACTTGTGTCAACGACGTAGGTGTGGGTACCTCCTGAACCGCCTCGACTTTCCTCGAATCCGGTCTCAAGCCTTCTCGGGTTACTACGTATCCTAGGAATGAGATCTCGGACAGGAAAAATTCGCTCTTCTCGAACGCAATCTTGAAACCAACATCCCGGAGCGCGCCAAGCGTCCATTCAATATGCTGCGCGTGTCCATGGAACGATTCAGAATACACCAAAATGTCGTCCATGTACACAATAACGCAAAAATTGATCATTTCCAGAGTTAACCGGATCTTGTTCATGAAGTTCTGAAATGTGACATTCATCGCCTCAGAAAGGTTGCCAGTGCATTGCATATCCCCATAGGACAACGGATCCATTGCCACGTGTCCCCAAATAGTACAAATGTCGTCTTCGACCGATCCTCCTCCCTCACGAGGATATGGTGGAACCCGTGCCAAATGTCAAATTTACTAAAATAATTAGCACATCCAGTCGCATCCAGCAAGTCGTCAATCCGAGGGAGGGGTTACACGTCTTTGATCGTGATATCATTCAATTTCCGATAATCGATGCATATGCGAATCGACCTGCTTTTCTTCCGGACCAAAACTACGGGGAAAGACTAAGGACCTGCAGCGGGCTCATCCAACCGTTGGCCTCGAACTCACGGATGCGTTCGAGTGCTGCCTTTCGTTACGCCAGTGAGTATAGATAGGGTTTGCAATGGATCGGCGGGTGGTTGTCGGTCTGGATCTCGTGCTGGATTATAAAAGATAATCCAATATCCGTGTCATCGATACTGATAACGTCCCAATTCTCTGTTAGGATATCTCCAATTAGTTGGTGGGTTTCGTCGGGCACGCACTCCGGTGCATGTAATTCATAGGGTTGTCCGTGGATGACGGTTGTCACGTGTTTAGCGCATATTGTTTTCGTGTCTCGAGGTAGCAGGGAAGAGATGAAAGAATTGTTCGACCGCCAGGAGAACACAGTGGCCACCATCTGAGCTTCCTCGTCTCGGATGGCCGCGTGCTCTTGGGGGGTTATCCCATCCGCAATGTCCCGCGGGTCTACCGATTTCTCGGCAACTGTTATTACGATTTCAAATATTGAGGATTCGGGGCACCCAGAGGGTTCCGGAACCTGTGTTTCTGCTCCCAGATGTAACAATCGTATCTCCTTTTCCATGGCGAGAAGCGATCAGGGAGGTAAGTAGAAGGATCGTTTGTCTACATATCGTGGAAGGAACGGGGTGGTGCCTTCGTATAGGGTCCGAGGGGGTTCCGAAGAATCGGGCAGTCTCGACACCTGTACTAATGGTTCCCCCATGATCAGGGTCCAGGTCCGTCAGGTTTTCTCGTGGGTAAGTACGAAAGTTCTTGTCGTTTTCTACCGGACCGGGTAACTGATTGCCCTACGTGTCAGTTCCCGGATCACCGGGTCGGTGTCGTCGTCACTCTCTGACTCTTAGGGAAGCAACGACATTTGTTCCTCGCCGGATGTCTGTGAATCGTCCACCCGTCTTTCCCATGTGATCGTTTGGATTGGCTGGACTACCCCTAACTGGATCTTTCGTGTTGAGTTAACCGTTGTGCGGCGGGTGAGACGCATAGGAATTGTATATGGCTTATCACCCGTGTTCTTGAGAACTACTACCCGTTGCTCGAAATCCAGGCTGACCAGGAGGGCGTTTAGAGCGGGTAGCCCAAGGAGGGCATCATACGAGGTGACATTGAGCACCACCACGTCTCCCAAGGCATGAACTTTCCCTAGTCTAAAGGCGACATTGGTCATCTTCCCGACCGCTCAGATCTTTTCCTCGTCTGCCGAGATGAGGCGGTGTCCATCGGTGAGCGGGATCAGATCCTTCCTGCGTCCCGCCCTCTCTACTACTCTCAAGGATATGGCCAATACGGCCGCTCCAGAATCGAGGATCGTGCTATACGGTGCTCCCCAGATTTTCACGCCACACTCCGCGAATTTCCATGGAATGGGTTTAATGTGTGGAAAGTGATCGTTTTTCCATATAAGCCCTAAACGCACATTTCGTAAACTGCACCCCACTAGACGCATTTTTTCCTGCCTACGAAAAAATGGGTCTGAAAGAACTACCAGATCAAGAATTGATCTAATATTAATCTCCACGGCAATAGAAGGCTCCCTACAGATTGCAGAAGTTTTCCCACCCAAACCGTACCTGGGCCTGGACCACGCTATGTATGTGGCAATCCTCTCGTTTCATAAAAAAACGGACCAAGGGCCGGGATTTTACAAACTAAACACCTCGATGTTGACACAACACTCATTCCAACCCTTTGTCAAAGACAGGTGGCACTATTGGCAGTCTCATAAAGATACAATCCAAAACAATATTGTATGGTTTAATAATGACCTAGCCTTTTTGGCAAAAAAATGTTGTGAATACTCCAAAAGAGTAGTCGCTCAGAGTAATAGAGAAGAGATAGAACTTCAAAACCATTTGAAAGATCTTAACCAACAGCAAGAGCAAATTCAAGGAGCTATTAATGAGGGTCTGTCCGCCGCCATACGGCGAACTGAGACTCACCTTCCCGAATGAATGGAGCATATATGGAACGACACACACATACGAGGTAAGTTTAGAAAACAAAAAACGGAAGGAACCATGGACGCAAAATTTTTCGCAATGGCCAGACTTAGGACTGGGAGGACGACCATTGATGCCCTCGCAGACCCGACACAATCCCAAGAGTAACCGGCCACCAGCACTCCTGAATGTGTTTACATAGCCAAGAAATTCTACCATGAACTTTTTTCATCACAGTGTAAACACATCCCTTAAGAGAAAAGAATACAAGAAATTAATGAATTTTTGACCCCCCTTCAGAAACAAATTACAGAACAACAGAGGGCAACCCTGAAGAGGCCACCCGCAAAAGAGGAGATATGGACTACACTAATGCAGATGGAAGAAGAGAAAACTCCCGGAATAGACGGGTTACCCAAGGAGTTATGGGAAACAATGTGACCCTCCCTCTCGCAAGACCTGATGGAATATTACCAAACGGTCTGGACAACAAGACAAATGAGAGAATTCGTTGGACAAGGGATACTGGCCTTGCTTCATAAGAAAGGAGACAAAATGAATATTGAAAACTATCGATCGATTACACTCCTGACTGTGGTGTACAAAATGCTAGCAAAGACATTGACAAATCGTATGACCCCGATAATGTCGGACATCATACACCCAACGCAACCGGCTTCATTAAAGGCAGGAAGATCCAGGATAACATTCTCCTCATTAATGAGGTCATTAAGCTATCTCGACAATCTAGACACAATGCTGCTATAATTTTTGTAGACTTTGAAAAGGCATATGACCATATCATAGACTGGGTTTTCCTTGATCAATGCTTAGAAAAACTCAATTTCGGCCCGGTTTTCAGACGTTGGGTGAAGATCCTTCATCAAAATGCTACGACGCGGGTGCAGTGAATGGCAGATTGGCTCCCCTCATTCGTCTGGAACGATCGGTTCGCCAAGGCGACCCGATCACTCCCTTTCTATTCGTAATAATCATGGAAGCATTAGCGGCGAACTTGTGTACTCACAGGCAAATTAAGAAAATAAGGATAACCTCTATCCAGAGGAGGCAACCCCTATCTGTTCGCTCTTTGCTAACGTTCTTACCCTCATCGTGGAAGCCTCAACCGAAAATATGGAGGAAGTTCGTCGATTGATGGAACGATTTTGTAATCTATCAGATATGAGGGTTAACTAGGGAAATAAAACGGAAGGCTGATGGATACACTACCAAGGGGCCCGACCGCCGGAATCTCTGTGGATTAGATGACTGCCAAAAGAAGTCCCGATCAGGGTGCTGGGCGTTAAACTATCAGCAGAAGGGCAACCGCCCTCAAATGATGAATGGCTGATGCAACCGGTCCTTGGAAAGCTGAACAGTTGCAAGGATAGCAGAACTTCACTGATGGGACGAGCTTTGGTGATCAATAATGTAGCACTAGCCTCATTGTGGTACAAAACAACACTCTGGTCACTCAACAAATCGGCGACGACCACCCTCCAACGACAGGTGGCGGCATTCCTGTGGAGGGGGAACCACGAGTGTCCTAATGTTATTAGCAGAGTGGCCTGG